GGAAAATCATAGCTGCACAAGTTCGATGATAGAACACTGAAAACATACAACTATTATTATCGTAAATATCAAAATATCAAAGCATTTGGTTTATATTTGGTTTATCTGTTTTTTATTTGCTGATAGACGAAAACTTTAAATGCAAACCGCAAACGCAGAAATTATATACGTCGATCCATACACATCTCCTTGTATCTCTCTTAAGAGCGTGGAAATTAAGCCTCTTTTTTAGAATTTATTGGTTTTACTGTACACAAAAAAGTGGATTAAGAAATTGTTTTTGGAAATGAATAAGAAATTTGGGTAGTAAACATTTTTGGTGATGAGTCACATCTTCATCACGAAGTTTTTTGCTGTAGATCATGCTCGTTTATTCATACAGTATCATCAATTATATAGTAGGAAAAATATCAAAAAATTGATGTTGTTATTGATTTTTTTATAAGTCGTCCGCCGTGTCTTTTAACGAGGGACAGCATGAAGAAAATCAACCAGTCAGCTTAAAGCTTTGTTTATATTTTGCTTTCTAAATCTTTTTCATTATTTTTTATAAATGTTGTGTATAAATAGGAATACCAAAACATATTTTCTATTTTAGATAGAAACGGGTTTTTTCATAAACTTTTAAAACTGTTTATTCCGTCGAAAAATTACGAATACAAATATCTAAATACAAAAACAAAAAAGTAGCACGGATCTGCTGATAACAACTGAAGTAGAATTACATTTGCCTAGGCTTCAATCTGAAGTTTGATCATAAAAATGTTCTGTCCTTATAAGAAACAAGCCTAAATAATGTCTTCGAGGTGAGTGATTCTCTTTAAACCACTGCACACTTACATTCTTTCATTGTTTACAAAGAATCCATGTCGATGTTGCCTTCGTAGCTTCAAGCAAAAGTTTAAGATGCAGAAACAGAATATAGAGCTTATAGCAATTTAACCATCATGAATTTCAATTCTACAGCATTAATGTTTCATCTAAACTGGAAATCTAATCATAAATTATCATATCTTAATATCTACTTACCTTTTGTCTTCAGACAATTTCCCAACGATAATGAAGCCAATTTAACGATTCGATGATACACCAATAATCATTAAACATTTAAAATACACGACAAATTTCTTTAGAGCAAACATGTTTAGGCATACTTTATGAGTATTGTGCTCCTACGAAATTATACACCAATTATGTTGAAAAGCAAGCGTTCAATATTAATCTTGCAGCATGTGCTTCCATCTGTTCTGTTGATATGTCCATTGCAATTCAATTTTAGTAAAATATTTCTCAACTAATAAAGGAGAATTTTACAAATATGATCCACGATGTATAACTTTTATAGTTTCCACATTTTCTCAATCACCTATAACTTGATGAAATGTTACAAGTATAGAAAAATTTTCTGTCCTCTATTCAAAATTCTTTACCTATATTGATTTCTGCGACCCCTTCCCCCAACCCTAGTGATGAATGATAACTTGTACGATAAACGATAAAAGAGCACAATGGAGAAAGTCTTTTTAGTGAAAACATATAAATATTATCATCATAAATCTTATTTTGACTGTCGTTACTGCAAACGTGTGACTTCTTGGGACTTTGGATATTTAAATATATATGGCAACAATTTTTCCTATTTTACGCTAACTTTTGTTAGAAATGAGCACTTTTATTTTGTTAATGAAATAATACAAATTATAATCATATTACCAATTATCATGTTTACATTAAAAAAGGAAAACTTTTAAATACTACGAAAATGTCAAATATTAAATCTATCCAAACGGATACCTGCTTAAAAAGGAACGCTACAATCTTTCGAATTAAAACCCATTCATGTTATTCCGGTAATCTTTTCACTAAATAAACTCTTAGCTCAGACAACTCATCTACTATCTCGTTAAGTTAGAAGAAGCATAAACTATAATCAAACTTTAAGCATCTTCATCGGAGATGCCTCTCTTCGAAGAATACAAGAAGAGAATTGGACCGTTTGAAATACAATTCATAAATTCTTGGTCAATGGCTCACTGACAATAGCAAAAGCAATAACTTAAAAATCCGTAGGTTATTTGCTGATTATAGAATGGAATTTTCAATTTCATTGTCTGCTTCAGGTAATGGACAAATAGGATGAAACATACTACGACAAACAAAGACATCTTGCAAACTCAACATAGCTATGAGTTCCATGCAAAAAATCAAGACACAATAATTCATTTGGTGATATTTTGACTCTATAAATTGTCTCCTAGGAAATGTTAACAACAAATGCAATATGAAGAATCTAGGTCCGAATGAAAATTAAAAAACAAATTACTTTAAAATCGGTTTTAGTCTATAAAATAAACTAAGACATAACAAGTAAATTTAATGTACTTCATAAAACTTCTAAACATCCATGTTTGAAGTTCAGAAGTTTGTTGTTTGAAAGTAGTGCAATTTTTTATGATATAATTTAGTTTATATGCAATAAGTGTTGATTGTCCTTTGCCTAAACTTTAAAAATTTAACCTAAAAAATTCCTATCTTTGCAAAATATATAAGATCAATGCAAATCACGATTCTGAGAAATAAACCAAATAATTTTTCCTTCAACGTTTCAGTTTAAAAATAAGATTTACTTTTTAGAGATGATTTCTTATCTGTAGCTTGATCAAACATGACTACGCGACTACAAAAAATCATCCAAGTTAGTCAGCTTAAATTTCAATTGAAAAAAACTTTTACTTTGTTATTTGTAACTAACTCAAAATCCTAAAGTCGCCTTAAATCGTTGATGGATATCAGTGGCATACAAAACATGAGGACCTAGAGGGACATTATGAAACATGTACGTTTGGGGATAATTTATAACATGAAATCATTAGTACGTAATAATTAATGATTTCTAAACTATAATTATCACAACACATAAATTTTATAGGGGTTGCTTCTTATACTACATTGGTGAAATCAGTTTAAATTGGCTTATAACTATTTGAAACAAACAATGTGTAAAATGCTGTTTTCCCATGGTGTAGAGACTTTCATGTTGCTAACCATGGTGTAGAGACTTTCATGTTGCCAACCATGGTGTAGAAACTTTCATGTTGCTAGCCATGGTGTAGAGACTTCCATGTTGCTAACCATGGTGTAGAAACTTGCATTGTGCCAACCATGGTGTAGAAACTTGCATTGTGCCAACCATGGTGTAGAAACTTGCATTGTGCCAAACATGATGTAGAAACTTAAATTGTGTTAATCATGATGTATAGACTTGCATTGTGCCAACCATGGTCTAGAAGAAACTTGCATTGTGCCAACCATGGTGTAGAAACTTACATTGTGTTAATCATGATGTATAGACTTGCATTGTGCCAACCATGGTGTAGAAACTTGCATTGTGCCAACCATGGTCTAGAAGAAACTTGCATTCTGCCAACCATGGTGTAGAAACTTACATTGTGCTAATGATGATGTATAGACTTGCATTGTGCCAACCATGATGTAGAAACTTACATTGTGTTAATCATGATGTGTAGAAACTTACATTGTGTTAATCATGATGTGTAGAAACTTGCATTGTGCCAACCATGGTGTAGAAACTTGCATTGTGCCAACCATGGTGTAGAAACTTACATTGTGTTAATCATGATGTATAGACTTGCATTGTGCCAAACATGGTGTAGAAACTTACATTGTGTTAATCATGATGTGTAAAAACTTGCATTGTGCCAAACATGGTGTAGAAACTTACATTGTGTTAATCATGATGTGTAAAAACTTGCATTGTGCCAACCATGGTGTAGAAGAAACTTGCATTGTGCCAACCATGGTGTAGAAACTTGCATTGTGCCAACCATGGTGTAGAAACTTGCATTGTGCCAACCATGGTGTAGAAGAAACTTGCATTGTGCCAACCATGGTGTAGAAACTTACATTGTGTTAATCATGATGTATAGACTTGCATTGTGCCAACCATGGTGTAGAAACTTGATTGTGCCAACCATGGTGTAGAAATTTGCATTGTGCCAACCATGGTGTAGAAACTTGCATTGTGCAAACCATGGTGTAGAAACTTGCATTGTGCCAACCATGGTGTAGAAACTTGATTGTGCCAACCATGGTGTAGAAACTTGTATTGCAGCCAACCATGGTGTAGAAACTTGCATTGTGCCAACCATGGTGTAGACGAAACTTGCATTTTGCCAACCATGGTGTAGAAACTTACATTGTGTTAATCATGATGTATAGACTTGCATTGTGCCAACCATGGTGTAGAAACTTGCATTGTGCCAACCATGGTCTAGAAGAAACTTGCATTCTGCCAACCATGGTGTAGAAACTTACATTGTGCTAATGATGATGTATAGACTTGCATTGTGCCAAACATGATGTAGAAACTTACATTGTGTTAATCATGATGTGTAGAAACTTACATTGTGCCAACCATGGTGTAGAAACTTACATTGTGTTAATCATGATGTGTAGAAACTTACATTGTGTTAATCATGATGTATAGACTTGCATTGTGCCAAACATGGTGTAGAAACTTGCATTGTGTTAATCATGATGTGTAAAACTTGCATTGTGCCAAACATGGTGTAGAAACTTACATTGTGTTAATCATGATGTGTATAAACTTGCATTGTGCCAACCATGGTGTAGAAGAAACTTGCATTGTGCCAACCATGGTGTAGAAACCAGCATTGTGCCAACCATGGTGTAGAAACTTGCATTGTGCCAACCATGGTGTAGAAGAAACTGCCAACCATGGTGTAGAAACTTACATTGTGTTAATCATGATGTATAGACTGCATTGTGCCAACCATGGTGTAGAAATTCAGATTGTGCCAACCATGGTGTAGAAATTTATTGTGCCAACCATGGTGTAGAAACAGATTGCAAACCATGGTGTAGAAACTTGCATTGTGCCATGGTGTGAAACTACATTGTGCCAACCATGGTGTAGAAACTTGCATTAGCCAACCATGGTGTAGAAACTTCAGATTGTGCCAACCATGGTGTAGACGAAACTTGCATTGTGCCAACCATGGTGTAGAAATTTACATTGTGTTAATCATGATGTATAGACTTGCATTGTGCCAAACATGATGTAGAAACTTAAATTGTGTTAATCATGATGTATAGACTTGCATTGTGCCAAACATGATGTAGAAACTTAAATTGTGTTAATCATGATGTATAAACTTGCATTGTGCCAACCATGGTCTAGAAGAAACTTGCATTTTGCCAACCATGGTGTAGAAACTTACATTGTGTTAATCATGATGTATAGACTTGTATTGTGCCAACCATGTAAGTTTGAGATTTACATGGGTTTTAAGAAAGGTAAGTCCGTCCAAATAACTTAGCTTTCCTTCACCTGTGGTGTTAACGATTTCAGAAAGTTTACCAAATTGTTGATTTTCAACAAAATATAAGAAGGTGATATTTTGCAATTCTTAAAATTCTTCAATTGGCAGTTCCTACGTATCTTCGTTTCCAATTCACAAAATAATGTAAACAATATGCTTCAAACAATGGACTCTATCTTCTCAGGCTGTTGAACATCTTTAGTGTTGTTGTGATTTGTCGCTGTCATTTTCTAATCTTATTGCGTCTTCATTCTTATAAGATGCTCCTTTTCGTGGAGAGGTATCGTCTGCTAGCCTTTCGTAAGAACCAGCATCTTTTAATTTCTGTGTTGATGGTTCAACAGCAACTTCAGGTAAAGAAACTGTAGGTGTCGTGTATGCATCTGTTTGAGGGGTGGGTAATGGTGCATTGGAGTCATAGCTAAAAATGAACATAATATATTGTGAAAGTTAACTATAGAGTAAATATTCTTCAATAAAAACATGCTTACGCTGTAAATAGTAAGAGAACTGTACATAAAGAGAGTACTAACCCATGTAATTTATTGGAAATGAGCAATGGTTGTAAGTAATAATCAGATTTTTTTTTCAATAATTCATCTTTCTCCTTGCCGCCTCAATCTCCTCAGCACTTGCTTCAATGTGTAAATATGGATTCGTCTAAAAATGATGAAATAACATTGAAAACAGGAGCTGTGTAATAAAGGCAGTATGGTAAATAGCTGACCAAAGACATTGTATAAACAGCAATGATCACTAGAGAATACAATCAAGAATTGCAAACATATGCAGGTTCACTTGAGCACAAGAATCAAATGAATTCAGGGTAAGGGGAAGTATCTTCAATTATTGTAACGTATACTTAAGTAATATTAAATAGCGCAGATTATGTCGACATAAAAGAACTAGATTTTTCAATTTCCATCTTAAACTGTTTTAGCATGTATATTTAGACACAAATAATTTACTGAGAACTCAATAGAGTCTTAATCATACACACAACAAATATAAATACGTATATGTACAACATGTACAACAATGTCCTCTATATATGTTTAAAGCACTACATCTTGCAGAGAGGAGAATGATGGTGTAATAAATTTCAATTCAATTGAAGTTAGAACCATACCTTTTTCCATATGTCGTTCCAATATTCTTCCAAAATGCTCTACCAAATTGGAAAATGTTGGTCTATTTTGTGGTTGTTCCTGCCAACAATCTCTCATGATTGTATAGATTTCCAACGGACATTTATTGGGTTGTGGCATACGTTTTTCTTGGTTTAAAAAATCCAGCAATTGTTCAGCTGGTAGATCAGGATAAGGCGTACCTCCAAGAGTCATCATCTCCCACAGTAGAACACCGAAGGACCAACTAAAGTTAGTAAACAAAATGTGTAATTTAACATACGTTAGGAATAAATGGAATAAAAAACATTCTATGAATAAAGTTGAGAAAACCTGCATGTCAAAATAACATATTTATAACTTACACATCACTTTGATGAGTATATACGCGATCAAATAAAGATTCTACAGCCATCCATTTTACAGGTAACATACCACTGGATGTCTTTACATAAACATAGCTTTTATATATATCTCGTGCGAGACCAAAATCTGATATTTTCATGACGTATTCTTCAGCAACAAGAATATTACGGGCAGCAAGATCACGATGTATTAACTGAAAATAATTAAAGATTATAAATCTTCTATCAATGTTCTAGTTTTTAATACAAACTATTGTGAAAGCAATGAGCGTTAGTTACTTATGAATAGTTATTATAGGATTAGAAATTGTTTTTAAATTCATAAACTTCATGTAAGATCGGTTAAATAAATGTATTTTATAAAATGTTTACGTGATAATTTTTACCTTGCGTGAAGCAAGAAACTCCATTCCTTTGGCAATTTGAAAAGCAGCACCAACAATATCAATTAAAGTAAACTCTTTCTCTGGATCATAAATTTTCTTTTCCCAGGTACTTTCATAAAAAGATCTTTTGGATCTTAAAAATGTCAGCAAGTTTCCATGAGGACAAAATTCTAAGATTACATAAAGTTGCCGTCCCTTCGTACAAGCGCCGAGTAAATTAACGATATTTTTATTTTCACCAATGTGAATCATTAATTTCAGTTTCTCTGCTAAATCACGTATTTCGCTTTCTGTTGCATGAGCTACAGGAACAACAAAGTTTTTTTCCAAAAGAGAACAACAAAAACTCAAGATTTGTAAAATGATATGTAAGTTTCCTTAAAAGAAAGTTTTACCTTTAACAGTTTTTACAGCAACAATGGCATTGGTTGAATTAGGCTGTAAATGGTCTTTCTTTTTAGGTCTTGGACTTGCCCTTAAATCACGACGTATTTTCGATCTTCTCTTACCAGCAATGCTGCTTTTATCGCGTGGATTTAAAGCTAAAATTCCCATTGCTTCAGCTTTGTAAACTTCTCCAAAGGCTCCTGCACCAAGACGATCACCCATAACGAGTCTTTCAAAAGGAAATTCCCAATCAGAGTCGTACGGTAAATTCATACTTTGCTCATTAAGCGTTATACTGGGGTCTATCTGAAACAAAGTTAGAAGAAAACACAATGAAACGAGCTTACCGTTAAACTAAAAAAGAAAAAAAAGTTGTGACATTTGTTACAGTTCGTGTATGTAAAAATAGATGCTTGTATAGGACTTAAGACTGAGATGTTAAAAACTCACTGAATAATTTCCAGTACGTAGAAAATACTGATGTTTGTAGAATGATAATTTTTGGTTTTGTTTTCTATAGAGAACAATGATGATAATTAATATGATGACTATGGAAACACCAATAACTATCCCTGCAATGGTTCCTGGTGTTGTACCATCGTCGTTTTGGATCGTCGGTGTAGGATCTACACAAAAAGCAAAAGACGTTAAAAATATTTAGGTATGTGCATGGCCCATGTTCTGTCTAGGAATTTGAAAACGCATTGTAAATCAATGATTTTAATGCAGCTGGAACTACTAAATTTGAGACAAAGGTGCTAATTGTAAAATTCATATTCTAATACACAACTTCGCCGCATGAAGAAAAATACTCATAAGTGCAAAAGTCAATATAAAACATACCTAAATGAAAATCTGCAAATCCTGCTAAATCATAAAATAAATCTCCAACCAACCTTGAGGTCGAAGTCTTAGTGACAACAAACGCTTCTCTGTAATACCAAACGAGTTCCATGCCTTACAAGAATAATTTCCGATGTAAGATTTATTCATTTTTTCAACTGTCATAACTATTTCCTTCTTTGCTATAGCTGTGAGCTTCACATCACTATCGATAGAAATCCATTGTACCCAAGGTATAGGATTACCGCTTGCTACACAACTAAACGTTTTCTTTTCATTGGAAAAGACTTTCATCTCTTAAAGTTGATGGTTCGTCGATCTTTGGTTTACCTAAATAAAATTGCACAACTATTCTTACAACATTTTCATATGAACCTTGTTGAAGGACGTATATACTTTCATTGCAACACAATGAAACTTTATCATTTAGAAAATCTAACAGTGTAAACATTGTCAACCTACCAGTAACATTAAGATAAACAGTTGCTGTGACGTTTCCTAACTGGTTTTGCAAAGCATGTGTAGTTTCCGAATGTGAAATATCAACGCCACAAATAATAAGAGTTGTTCCATCATTCTTCAAGTAATAGTTAGGAACTTGGGTTTTACAATTTGTGATTATAACACGACCAATTTCTTCACCATTTCTTGACCATGTTACTTTGGGTCGAGGATTACCTGACACATTACAAATCAACTCTGCGTCTTTATCTTTATCCTTATTCACTGTAGAATCTTTCATCTGATAAATTACAGGAGGATATATTCCTGTAGAATAGTAAAACGAAAAATTTGTTTGAATTGCAAACAGTATGGATGTGATTCGCAAACAAACATTTACTGTAGGTAGCCAAACACATCGACATTTTCTATCAAACCTAAGTAAATAAGAGTTAATCGTACTTATTGTGAACGTTTTTAACCACAAAGTATAATTTATATATAATCGTTTAGGATAATCGTTCGTTAAAATTTCAACTCAATGTTTTACAAAAATTATTAAGTTTTAGTTTCGTTTTGAAGACATTTTAAAAGGTCAACTGTCATACTGTATTTATATGGCAATCAAAGAAAACCTATGCAAAAAGATACATAAGTGGTTAATAACCTTTAAAGTCAAAGAAAATAATATCAAAATTTCACACGTTTAGATAGTTCAGGCTAAGATAAAAGTATGTTCCTTGAGTTGAACAGCAAAAAGCAAAAGACGTTAAAAATATTTAGGTATTTGCATGGCCCATGTTCTGTCTAGGAATTTGAAAAACGCATTGTAAATCAATGATTTTAATGCAGCTGGAACTACTAAATTTGAGACAAAGGTGCTAATTGTAAAATTCATATTCTAATACACAACTTCGCCGCATGAAGAAAAATACTCATAAGTGCAAAAGTCAATAAAACACATCCCTAAATGAAAATCTGCAAATCCTGCTAAATCATAAAACAAAATCTCCAACCAACCTTGAGGTCAAGTCTTAGTGACAACAAACGCTTCTCTGTAATACCAAAAGAGTTCCATGCCTTACAATAATAATTTCCGATGTAAGATTTATTCATTTTTCAACTGTCATAACTATTTCTTCTGCTATAGCTGTGAGCTTCACATCACTATCGATAGAAATCCATTGTACCCAAGGTGTAGGATTACCGCTTGCTACACAACTAAACGTTTTCTTTTCATTGGCAAAAAGACTTTCATCTATTAAAGTTGATGGTTCGTCGATCTTTGGTTTACCTAAATAAAAATTGCACAACTATTCTTACAACATTTTCATATGAACCTTGTTGAAGGACGTATATACTTTCATTGCAACACAATGAAACTTTATCGTTTAGAAAATCTAACAGTGTAAACATTGTCAACCTACCAGTAACATTAAGATAAACAGTTGCTGTGACGCTTCCTAACTGGTTTTTTGCAAAGCATGTGTAGTTTCCCGAATGTGAAATATCAACGCCACAAATAATAAGAGTTGTTCCATCATTCTTCAAGTAATAGTTAGTAAAATGGGTTTTACAATTTCTGATTATAACACGACCAATTTCTTCACCATTTCTTGACCATGTTACTTTGGGTCGAGGATTACCTGACACATAACAAATCAACTCTGCGTCTTTATCTTTATCTTTATTCACTGTAGAATCTTTCATCTGATGAATTACAGGAGGACGTTTTCCTGTAGAATAGTAAAACGAAAAATTTGTTTGAATTGCAAACAGTATGGATGTGATTCGCAAACAAACATTTACTGTAGGTAGCCAAACACATCGACATTTTCTATCAAACCTAAGTAAATAAGAGTTAATCGTACTTATTGTGAACGTTTTTAACCACAAAGTATAATTTATATATAATCGTTTAGGATAATCGTTCGTTAAAATTTCAACTCAATGTTTTACAAAAATTATTAAGTTTTAGTTTCGTTTTGAAGACATTTTAAAAGGTCAACTGTCATACTGTATTTATATGGCAATCAAAGAAAACCTATGCAAAAAAGATACATAAGTGGTTAATAACCTTTTAAATTCAAAGAAAAATAATATCAAAATTTCACACGTTTAGATAGTTCAGGCTAAGATAAAAGTATGTTCCTTGTGTTGAACAGCGAGAATTCGCAATATTTTTTACGAACTTTTTTTTTATGTTTTTGGTGATAAAAATTTCAAAGCAACTAACCTCGTACATTCAACGTTACAGCAACATATTCATTACTGAGAGCATTTTTTTCACTACATCTGTAAGTTCCAGAATCATTGTTGTTGATATTTCGTATTTTCATTGTAACATTATGATATTGAGGATTTCTACTTATGGTGATGTTTGTTCTTTCATTATTTATCACTTTACGACGAGGATTTTCTTTGTAAAACGTAATATTAGCAAGAATCGAAACATCTACTCTGCAAATTACCATAAAGTCCTCGTTTTCATTTAAAATTACATCCCCAGAAGGAAAAACATTAAAGGGATCATCTCCTAAAGCAAAGAAACGAAACGTTTCACCATCAATCAATGTAATAATAATAAACAATATTTTCATGTAAACAAAATCTTACCGAATCGCAGAAACCTAAACATTCTACTGTCATTTCCATGAATGTTTTGAGCAAAACATCTGAACAATATTGAAGCTTGTTTAGCAGTCGCGGGTATCTTTAAAACACTTTCATATTGTCGTTTGTTTTTTCAAACGAAGACTTATACTGTGAAGGGATCCAGTTATTCGAGACAGGTTCATTGTTGCTAACAATCTGTTGATCCCAAGTTATCTTTGGTCTTGGATCAGACCATCTTATCATACATTTAATCTCGCCTTCAGTGTTGAGTCCTGCTGTAAAATATTCACTATTTCTTCTGCTGATGGATGGTGGCACTGAAAAAATTGGTAACATGAATCAACTCATTACTAATAAGAAAAACCCACTTAGGTTTAGCAAAATGTGGGTTTAGCTAAGAGGGTTTAGCAAAGTTTTACAAAATGATCATCACTGACCACAACTGAATGGTTATGACACAGACGTTTATGAACCATACAGATTATAGATAATACTAGAGGTTGTATTGCTGAAGAATTAGGAGGACGCAGAGTTGGGGGGTAGGGGTGGGTGTGGCAAATTTAGGTCCCACATGTATTGCTTAGTAAACACGAAGGACCCAAATAAACTTTTGCCATCGGTTTTCGAGTTTCGGATTTTTTTCCAATCTCGAGTGTAAGTGTTTTCTTGTTTTTTTTTCTTTTGTCTTAAAATCAAGAAATTTTATCAATTTAAAGAGTTAGTATATATCTGTTACATAATAATTATGTGTTTTTTATGGCCTCCGTATTCTTTATATGTTTTCATTAAACTATAAGCGATGAAAACATATGTCGTTCTTCCGTATTCTTCTGTTTTTACAACTCCATTTTTACGGTATAAATGGTAAATATATGTTTTTTGAAGTCTATTAGCAGTTGAATTAAAACGAAAAAAGCTTTTTTATCAAGCAACACTCACGACTTGACAAGAGACCAAATTTAAATAGCCAATTTGTTTTTCAAAGGCCAATGAAATTTAAAAAGGCCAAAATCGAGTTCATAACCTGTCTCAAAAATACCAAACATACAACACAAAGTTGCAACTGAAATTGTTAAGTAATGATAGCATAATATAATAATAGTTGCTGAACGTATGTCAAAATTGATCATGCGTGTTTTGCATAAACAAACAGGTGGATACTGTGCAGTTGCATACGATCCGGATGTGGTCAATACACATATTATACATGTGGTGATGCACTAGGTACTTCCAAAGCAGACGGCATATTACTATAAACAGGTGTTTCTCAAGGCAGTACCCTAGCCCAGAGCCGAAACTAGAACGTTAATTGGGGGTGAATATTTACATATTCAGCACTGCCGGAATTTCAAAAATATTCAATATAAATTTGAAATTTAAAACATCTCTATTAGTAAGACATGCTCTTAACTGCATAACAAATCAGTAATACAGTGGTGGAAAGACTATAGCATTTCATTTACTCACGGATTTCAAGACGAAGCTGAGGACAAAGCAACAAAACAGAATATGAGACTAAAGTAGCTGAGCGCAATCATGTTCATCTAGCTTCACTTTAGTAAGAAATAACCGAGAATTGCTGCGTTAACTTTAAGGAGACCACGCCAATGCTTTAGTTGTAATGTTTGCTTAAAAAATATAACAATTGCGAAATGATCACAACTTTTGAGCTGATAAAAATTTGTTTGTAACAAAACGATAATTTCAACTATAATTGAACTAAAGCTACATTTTTACTATGATTTTTACGAATGAACTTCGACTTCTTACATTGAAATTTTGTACTCGCATTCCTAGTTCAACTTAAATTGATGAATTCATTTTTCAGGTAGATCAACGTTTTGACATGCATGACATAATTCGACTTTATATTGAAGTCAAAACGATATCTGGTGTGTTTATCGGGACTCCTCTTCTTTATGTCATCAAAATTCCAAAGTAATATGAGTGCATAATTACGAAAAACCGCGAGTTGTATCTTTCCCAAACAACTTATTCTATATATATGATCTATATGTTCATACCAATTTCCAAACATGGTTATACTTACCTCCAACGTTAATATGAACATAGCATGTTGAAGTTTTTCCACCATACAGAAAGTGCTTGTACGGAATTTCGTGCTGTCCTATTGAGAACGACTGTGGAGAACTAATGTTCGGCTTTTCCTCTCCTTCTTTTATGTATTTATGAGGACAAGTGAAGTTTTCCGGTTCACTCCAAGATATATTTGCCACTCGTTTCTCAAGTTTGATCCCTTTGCTCACGACATTTTTTGCACACCAACATTTACCTGAAAAATTTTATTTAATAAATAAAAATAGACATGCATGGTCGTATTACTATATGTAGCAGGAGAGTGATGTATAACAAAGTCATTCGATCTGCATAAGAAACAGACCATGACAAGCTACATCCATTAACGATGAACGTAGCCACGGAATAAAACTGAAAAACAGTTTAATTTCTATTTTTTAGACTAAAAAGCCAACGACTTAATCATTTGATCTTGCTAAACTTGACTCTTTAGTGAGGAAATCCATGTTTCTGATACAGCAATGTTACCAATGTACGTAGGTCTGCAGTTTTGCATACGCAATAGATATGTAAAAAAATACAAGTATACCTTTTTCTACCTTAGGCTTTTGCAAATTAACTCTTCTTCAACAGTAAACTTTTTTATGAAAATACGTATGTAAAGGCAAATGTAAAATATATAGATTACCTTCAAGTGGACAAAATTCACTGAACATCCTGAATCGTTCCAAAGATAATTTTTCTCGATGCAACCATTAGTTAAAGACAAATTTCCGCACCTTTCTTCCGATTGATTTTTTTCTTGAACAAACACATTCCATTTATGTTCACAAAATTCAAACTTTTTGTTCCATCCCCATTTAACGGCCAACTTAAGAGTCACGGCCAGCATCAACCACAAGATGACAACAAAACGCATCATTTTTTATCCTTAAAACTGCAATTGTATGAAAAATCATAGCTGCACAAGTTCGATGATAGAACACTGAAAACATACAACTATTATTATCGTAAATATCAAAATATCGAAGCATTTGGTTTATATTTGGTTTATCTGTTTTTTATTTGCTGATAGACGAAAACTTTAAATGCAAACCGCAAACGCAGAAATTATATACGTCAATCCATACACATCTCCTTGTATCTCTTTACAAGCGTGGAAATTAAGCCTTTTTTAGAATTTATTGGTTTTACAGCACACAAAAAGTGGATTAGGAAATTGTTCTTGGAAATGAATAAGAAATTTGGGTAGTAAACATTTTGGTAATGAATCATATCTCGTCATGAATTTTTTGCTGTAGATCATGTTTGTTTATGCATACAGTATCATCTATTATATGGTAGGAAAAATATCAAAAAATTGATGTTGTTATTTATTTTTTTTATAAGTCGTCCGCCGTGTCTTTTAACGAGGGACAACATGAAGAAAATCAACCAGTCAGCTTAAAGCTTTTTTTATACTTTGCTTACTAAATATTTATCTATTTCTAAATCTTGTGTATGAATAGGAATACCAAAACATATTTTCTAAATTTTAGATAGAAACGGAGTTTTTTTTCATAAACTTTTTAAAACTGTTTATTCCGTCGAAAATTACGAATACAAATATCTAATTACAAAAACAAAAAAGTAGCACGGATCTGCTGATAACAACTAAATTAGAATTACATTTGCCTATGCTTCAATCTTAAGTTTGATCATAAAATGTTCTGTCCTTATAAGAAACAAGCCAAAATAATGTCTTCTAGGTGAATGATTCTCTTTAAACGACTGCACCCTTACATTCTTTCATTGTTTACAAAAATCCATGTCGATGTTGCCTTCGTAGCTTCAAGCAAAACGTAAGATGCAGAAACAGAATATAGAGCTTATAGCAATTTAACCATCATGAATTTCAATGCTACAGCATTAATGTTTCATCTAAACTGGAAATCTAATCATAAATTATCATATCTTAATATCTACTTACCTTTTGTCTTCAGACAATTTCCCAACGATAATGAAGCCAATTTAACGATTAGGTGATACACCAATAATCATTAAACATTTAACATACACGACAAATTTCTTTATAGAGCAATTATGTTTAGGCATACTTTATGAGTATTGTGCTCCTACGAAATTATACACCAATTATGTTGAAAAGCAAGCGTTCAATATTAATCTTGCAGCATGTGCTTCCATCTGTTCCGTTGATATGTTCATTGCAATTCAATTTTAGAAAAATATTTCTCAACTAATAAAGGAGAATTTTACAAAAATGATCCACGATGTGTAACTTTTATAGTTTTCAAATTAAGTTCGTAGCTTCAAGCAAAAACTTAAGATGCAAAAACAGAATATAGAGCTTATAGCAATTTAACCATCATGAATTTCAATGCTACTGCATTAATGTTTCATCTAAACTGGAAATCTAATCATAAATTATCATATCTTAATATCTACTTACCTTTTGTCTTCAGACAATTTCCCAACGATAATGAAGCCAATTTAACGATTCGGTGATACACCAATAATCATTAAACATTTAAAATACACGACAAATTTCTTTAGAGCAAACATGTTTAGGCATACTTTATGAGTATTGTGCTCCTACGAAATTATACACCAATTATGTTGAAAAGCAAGCGTTCAATATTAATCTTGCAGCATGTGCTTCCATCTGTTCCGTTGATATGTCCATTGCAATTCAATTTTAGTAAAATATTTCTCAACTAATAAAGGAGAATTTTACAAAAATGATCCACGATGTATAACTTTTATACTTTTCACATTTTCTCAACCACCTATAACTTGATGAAATGTTACAAGTATAGAAAAATTTTCTGTCCTCTATTCAAAATTCGTTACCGATATTGGTTTCTGCGACCCCCCCGCCCTCCTCCAACAAAAAAAATTGACAGCGCGCCATTGTACCATATGCTTGCCCTAGTGATGAATGATAACTTATACAATAAACGATAAAAGAGCACTATGGAGAAAGTCTTATGAGTGAAAACATATAAATATTATCATTATAAATCTTATTTTGACTGTCGTTACTGCAAACGTGTGACTTCTTGGGACTTTGGATATTTAAATATATATGGCAACAATTTTTCCTATTTTACGCTACTTACTTTTTGCTAGAAATGAGCACTTTTATTTCTGTTAATGAAATAATACAAATCATAGTCATATTACCAATTATCATGTTTATATTATAAAAGGAAAACTTTTAAATACTACGAAAATGTCAAATATTAAATATATCCAAACGGATACCTGCTTGAAAAGGAACGCTACAATCTTTCGAATTAAAACTCATTCATGTTATTCCAGTAATCTTTTCACTAAATAAACTCTTAGCTCAGACAACTCATCTACTATCTCGTTAAGTTAGAAGAAGCATAAACTCAAATCAAACTTTAAGCATCTTCATCGGAGATGCCTCTCTTCTAAGAATACATGAAGAGAATTGGACCGTTTGAAATACAATTCATAAATTCTTGGTCATTGGCTCACTGACAACTGGCAAAAGCAATAATTTAAAAATCCTTAGGTTATTTGCTGATTAATGAATGGAATTTTTACTTTTTATTATCTGCTTCAAGTAACGGACAAAAAGGATGAAACATACTACGACAAACAAAGACATCTTGCAAACTCAACATAGCTATGAGTTCCATGGAAAAAATCAAGACACAATAATTCATTTGGTGATATTTTGACTCTATAAATTGTCTCCTGGGAAATGTTAACAACAAATGCAATATAAAGAATCTAGGTCCGAATGAAAATTAAAAAACAAATTACTTTAAAATCGGTTTTAGTTTATAAAATAAACTAAGACATAACAAGTAAATTTAATGTACTTCATAAAACCTCTAAACATCCATGTTTGAAGTTCAGAAGTTAGTTGTTTGAAAGTACTGCAATTTTTTATGATATAATTTAGTTTATATTGCAATAAGTGTTCATTGTCCTTTGCCTAAAATTTAAAAATTTAACCTAAAAAATTCGTATATTTTCAAAATATATAAGATCAATGCAGATCACGATTCTGAGAAATAAACCAAATATTTCCCTTCAGCGTTTCAGTTTAAAATTAAGATTTATTTTTTAGAGATGATTTCTTATCTGTAGCTTGATCAAAAATGATTACGCGACTACAAATAATCATCCAAGTTAGTCAGCTTAAACTTCAATTAAAAAAAACGTTTACTTTGTGATTTGTAACTAACTCAAAATCCTAAAGTCGCCTCAAATCGTTGATGGATATCAGTGGAATACAAAACATGAGGACCTAGAGAGACATTATGAAACATGTACGTTTGGCAATAATTCATAACATGAAATCATTAGTACGTAACAATTAATGATTTCTAAACTATAATTATCACAACACATAAATTTTATAGGGGTTGCTCCTTATACTACATTGGTGAAATTAGTTTAAATTGGCTTATAACTATTTGAAACAAACAAAGTGTAAAATGCTGTTTTCCCATGGTGTAGAGACTTTCATGTTGCCAACCATGGTGTAGAAACTTGCATTGAGCCAACCATGGTGTAGAAACTTACATTGTGCCAGACATGGAGTAGAAACTTGCATTGTGCCAACCATGGTGTAGAAGAAACTTGCATTGTGCCAACCATGGTGTAGAAGAAACTTGCATTGTGCCAACCATGGTGTAGAAGAAACTTGCATTGTGCCAACCATGGTGTAGAAGAAACTTGCATTGTGCCAACCATGGTGTAGAAACTTGCATTGCGCCAACCATGGTGTAGAAGAAACTTGCATTGTGCCAACCATGGTGTAGAAGAAACTTGCATTGTGCCAACCATGGTGTAGAAGAAACTTGCATTGTGCCAACCATGGTGTAGAAATTTACATGGTGTTAATCATGATGTATAGACTTGCATTGTGCCAACCATGGTGTAGAAGAAACTTGCATTGTGCCAACCATGGTGTAGAAGAAACTTGCATTGTGCCAACCATGGTGTAGAAGAAACTGCATTGTGCCAACCATGGTGTAGAATTGCCAACCATGGAAAACTTGCATTGTGCCAACCATGGTGTAGAAGAAACTTGCATTGTGCCAACCATGGTGTGCCAACCATGGCATTGTGCCAACCATGGTGTAGTAACTTGCATTGCCAACCATGGTGTAGAAGAAACTGCATTGTAGAAGCCAACCATGGTGTAGAAAACTTGCATTGCGCCAACCATGGTGTAGAAGAAACTTGCATTGCCAACCATGATGTAGAAGGAACTTGCATTGTGCCAACCATGGTGTAGAAGAAACTTGCATTGCGCCAACCATGGTGTAGAAGAAACACTTGTGCCAACCATGATGAAGAATTGCATTGTGCCAACCATGGTGTAGAAGAAACTTGCATTGTGCCAACCATGGTGTAGAAACTTGCATTGTGCCAACCATGGTGTAGAAGCAACATGATGTAGAAACTTGTTAGAAACTGGTGTGAAACCATTGTAGAAATTGAATTGCCAAATGGTGTAGAAACTTGTATTGTGAATGGTAAGCATTGTGCCAACCATGGTGTAGAAACTTGCATTGTGCCAACCATGGTGTAGAAACTTGTATTGTGCCAAACATGGTGTGTAGAAGAAACTTGCATTGTGCCAACCATGGTGTAGAAACTTGCATTGTGTTAATCATGATGTATAGACTTGCATTGTGCCAACCATGGTGTAGAAACTTGCATTGCGCCAACCATGGTGTAGAAGA